GATGTGAATGGGTGAAAGGATGGAAGAGTGGATAGATGGATGAAGGACTGGGTGGATGTGGAAAGTGGATGGGTGGATGGGCTGGTCAGCTGGCTGCACTTCCCCTTGAAGCAGTCTGCCTTTTCTGTGCATTTTTTTCAAATATGCATCTACTTTTTGTAAATTTGGGTTCATACTGGACTCATACTGCTTTATAACATGTTTTCTTCACTTAGTATTACATCTTGGATACTTTTCTATGTTCACCAAATTCTTTTGAGTAAGATGTATTCATCAGTCTTTGAGATTTTCCTCTTCTTCAGCTGAGCTTACCCACATCTATAGCTGTGTTACTGTGTGCAACTTATTTAACTTGAGTTTCCTCATCTATAAAGGAGGATTCATAACAGTGTCTGCAGGTCATGTGAAGACTAAAGGAGAAGTACCTGCCAGTCACTTAAACAGTGTTTTACATTAGTGCCCTTTTTCTCTCCTGAGGCCTGTCACCTTCTGTCCCTAATTCCCTTGGTCAGGGTCTGCCTCAAGGAGCACAGACTTGGCTGTCTCCCCAAGGCACAGATTTCTGCTAAGACACAGAATCAGGAGGAAGGATCTGTGTGTCTCTCTAGGGGCCCAGGCCTGCCAGCCACGCAGTCTCAGCACGTGGGTGTGTCCTCGTCAGAGCTCACCGAACGTGATTCTCAGAACTTGCACCGCCCCGGGGACAGGAACCCCCAAGACGCTAGCTTCACTTCGGGTTTTTTGTTGGTTACCTTGTCCCCACCCCTGCCCTCAGTGTTAAGTATTTGAGTAACTACATGGAGAAAATTAAACCTGTCAGTCACCACAAACGCAAAGACCCCTTTGGCCATAAAACACACTCACTGTTTACAACACCCGGGTGCTTCTGTTGAGCCATCTCTTTATTCATTGCTGTAGTTTTGGTGCCACTTCCGTTTTCCACCTCGAAAATTATAATACTGCCCTTAGCATACCTGAGGTCAGGAGATGTCCAGCTCTTTCAAAGATCCCGAGCCTGGGAAAGACAGGAAAATTCAAGCTCGAAAGTGGCTAGCTGGTGGATTAGGGGCTCTTCGTCCACTGTAACCGCTCGGGCTGACCCACTTGTGCGAGGCCTGCCTGGCACTTGGCAGGATGTCAGCCCAGACCTGGGGCCTCTCTCTTTGTCTGTCTGCTCCACGCCCAGTCCCTGGGGAGCGGGAAGCCCTTGCCTGTCTGCAGCCCTTGCCAGTTTTCAACATGCATTCCTGCCTGTTATTTCATCTGAGCCTCACCCAAAGCCAGGGGCTGAGTCTGGGGAAGGGCTCTGGAACTACCCGAGTCACCGAGTCACCGAGTCACCGGGCCTTTGCCAGTGGGCTGCCCATGGGCTGGGAGCTGGGACCTCGGGACTCTAGGAAATGGGAAAAGATGGAGTTGTTCACTGCTGGGGGAGGCAGGAGGTGCCGGTGAAGCTGGTGGAGCAGCCTCCCACCTAACAGCCCCCTGAGGGCCCTGTTACATCCCTGACCCTCCAGGGAACAGACACCTAGGCCACACAGGCACCCACAGTCCTGTTTACTGAGGACACGCTTACAGGAATTATTGTTTAGTCTTCTAAACTCCAAATAACCCCAGGAGGTAGGTGCTTTTGTTTTCCCCACTTTATAGATGAGGAAACTGAGTCACAGGGAAGTTAAGTAAGTTTCACAAGGTCATACACTAAGACAGGGTGGAGCCAGGATCCCAAGTCCGACTCCTGACCACTGCACAGTAGTTGACGGTAAATATCTCAGCTCCTCTATCCTTCTTACAGAGCAAAGAGGAGACTGCAGGGGAGAGGGGCTTCTCTTTACTAAGTGAGGCAGCCAAGTATGCAGAGACAACACCTCAATTTAGACCCAGCCTCCGCTTTCTGCAGGAGGCTTGGATAAACTAGCTTCTCGGAGCCTCAGTTTCCTCATCTACAAAATGGGGATGATGACACCTTCCCTTCTGAGTTGTTGTGAAGATGAAGGAAGGATGTGGTTGAGGTCCTTAGCCCAGTGTCTGGCAAATAGTAGGTGCTCAGTAATTGGCTTTCGCATTAGGGTCAGGGCTGAGGGTAGAATCTTCAAAGTCCTATCATGTAGGCAAAGCCGAGATTGATCACTCAACTCCACATGGAGACATGGGGGAGCCCTGGTTGGTACTGCTGGTGGGAGCAGAGATAGCTCAAGAAACCTCTTATTAAACTGTATCTGATCTGTGGCTTCTTGTGGTTGGAGCCTGACTCAGACCAGCCACCTGGTTCCTGAGTCTGCCTGTTTCCTTTGGGCAGGAAAATGGAGGCTGGGAGGACAGGAAATAGTGGGAAGGATCTGTGAGGCCCAGGAGGAGCGGCTTGTTGACCAAAGCAGCCAGCATGACCGGGAGGGGCAGCAGCTGGTGGGGAAGAGTTGGTTTGGAAGTCAGATAAACTGGGATCAAATCATAACTTCTGTGAGCTGTGGACCTTGGCCAGGTCACTTCCTCTCTCTCAACCTCAGTTTCCCCACCTGTGAGATGAAGATGATACCACTTCCCTTGGCAAGTGGTTGCAGGGATGATCGAGTGACTAGGTAGTACATTACCTGGCCCAGAGGTGCTCACCAAATGGCCATTCTGTCTCACCCTCACTGCTCGGTGGTGTCCCCAGGTCTGCAGGCAGGCCCAGAAGTTCCTGACGCAGATCCGGGCCCAGCCCCTCATCAACCTGCAGCTGGTGAACGCATCTCTGTATGAGCACGTGGAACGGATGCATCTCATCGGGAGAAGCCGGGAGCAGCTGAAGCTTTTGGGGGATTACCTGGGTCTGTGCCGAAGCGGAGCCCTGAAGGAATTAAGCAAGAGGTGAGCACCCTGGACAGAAAGGCACACACACGCGCACACACACGCGCATGTGCACGCATGCACGCACACACACTCACACAGGGTCAATGCACAACCAACTTCTTGGGAGAAATGCCAGGGCTAGGTGGAGATCTTCCTGTTGGGTTTGGGGGTAGGTTTTATCTGTTCATGTATTCATGGATTCATTCATTTGACAAATATTTATTGAGAATGTACTCAGTGGCCGGCAGTGGGCTAGCAGCTGAGGGACACAGCACTGAGCAAGGTAGACCTGGGTAAGCCAGCAGCTCCAACCAGGAGGGAGGGCTGGAGAAGAGAGCAGGACGCCCTGGAAGTACCGGAGGAAGGAGGGGCGTCTAACCCAGACTGGAAGAGGGAGGAAGACGCAAGTCTTCCTGGAGGAACTGACATCAGAGGTGAGACCAGCAGAACGAGTATGAAAGGGGGTAGATGCAGGAAAGAGTGTTCAGAACAGGAGTGATGTCCATGGGCTGTGAATGAAGCCCCCTTTGTGGAAAGAACGGGGAAAACTTTGGGGGGTGCAAGGAGGGACGTGAAGAGAAGAGGCTGGAGAGGTGAGCAAGGAAGGGATGGACACGAAGGGCTGTGTTGCCCTGGCTCCTCCGTTCCCCAGCTAGCCCTCCACCCCGTGCTGGCTTTGCTTTGCCGCTGTGGCAGCATCCCTCCTCGAATCCCCAGAAGAGGACCAGACTGGGGTGCGACCCTCAGGATGCCCTTCAAGGACCCGGGCCTGGGGATCTTCAGTGCTGTGAGGGAGTGATGCCTTCTGTGGGGCTGTGCTCTCCTGGGGCCTCAGGAGGGCAGACCTCAGGGGGACGAGCTGGTGCTTACTGCCCAGGTGGGCTTTGCTGCTGGCTGTCTGAGGATTTGGAGCAGCTCACAAGCCCCTCCACGTTCCCCCTCCAGCTGCTCTTCCCAACAGGGCTGGTGCCAAGACCACCTGTCTGATGGGCTTGCCAGCTCAGTCCTGGTTACTGGTCTCCTGCTCGGCTCCTCGTGCCCAGGGTGGCTGGCGCAGGGAGAGGCCCCTGCAGGGAGCCCTGTCTTCGGCAAAGGATAGAAGCTGGCTCTTCACAGGCTCCCAGAGCAGACGGCTGAGCCCTGGTCTCCTCTGAAGGCCTGGAAGAA